CTAATGTACGTTCGGGCCGTATGCCCCCCCCCCCCCCATGTAATGGGTACGACGACACTTTTTGAAACTTTCAAAAGCAAGCTGGTACTTCGTTGCTTCAGGCTCTTTCGCTCTTAGTATTAACGGCTACAGTTTAATTAACCATATTTTCTATATTTGACCACAGTGTTGAACACGTCCGTGCCCGTGCCCGTGCCCGTGCCCGTCCTTCGTCCCATGGTGCCCCATTTTGTTGGCCGCCAACAAGAATGTGAACATAACTCGCGTGCGTTGACGTCCACACCTGCTCGGCTAGTCTCTGTATCTGGACCCCCTGGTTTTGGCAAAACTTCATTGGCTATTGCAGTAGGACACCAACTTGGACAGCTCGGACTACCAGTTTATTTCCTTTCCTTGAGAAGCGTGAAGACAGCGGAAGAGCTGACCTCTGAGCTCTTAAACACCTTTGCACATGCGTCGTCTGATGTAATGGGGCGAAAGCGTTCAAAACTATTCACTAAAAACCTCACTGCAATTCCTTCCAATATTTGTATCATTCTCGATAACGCCGATCACCTTTTTGAGAGTAGTGAAACGAGCCAAGATGTTTTAGAGCTACTCAAAAAGATTTTTTTTCATTGCAAGAATGTGTCCTTTTTATTGACCACAAGAAGGAGTCTTGAATCAGTGCTGGGAAGAGAATTTGGCGATCACATGTCTGTCGGTGTCGCATCGCTAAGCAGGAAAACGGCACAAATGCTTGTTCAAGAACTTGTCCCTGCTGCTGATGAAAGTGAATGCTCGTCAACTGACGTCTTACCTAACCACCAATCACCGTCTCTCTGTGCATCAAAGTGGCAACAAAACCTGGCATTCAACGGAAACCTCCCTTATTCATTCCACCGACTCTATTCTAAAAGCAATTGACCAGAAGAAAGTAACAGCAGTTATTCTTTTGGACATGAGCAAAGCTTTTGACAGCATTAACCATAATATACTGCTTGCTAAATTGGAGGACGTTGGTGTCTCGTCTAGATGCCTGGGTTGGTTTAAAAGTTACCTCAGCGAGAGATACCAAGCAGTACGTATCAACTCTACTCTATCTGAGAAATTGCCAGTTGTTAGCGGTGTCCCACAGGGAAGCATTCTGGGCCCGTTACTTTTCAGTATTTATGTGAATGATTTGCCGTCAGTCGCCAAAAATTGTTTATCAGAATCGTATGTTGATGACACCAAACTCCTTCTGTCCTTCCGAATCGATGACTCGAACATTGCGCTGACTGATCTAAACGAGGATTTGATTAGAATGCGAAACTGGTGTTTTGATAACCTGCTCTTGCTGAATCCATACAAAACTAAATTGATGGTCTACGGAAGCCGCCAAATGCTCGCGAAGTTACCTGATTTTAGACTTTCGCTACTTGGTAAGAAACTAACACCTGCTTCATCAGTGAAAGATCTCGGAGTTAAGTTTGATCCAATCCTCTCCTTCGACAATCATATCCTTTCTACTGTTTCATCCTGCAAGTCAAGTCTCTGCCAGATAAATCGCGCTAAGCATGTCTTCCCTAAAAACCTTTTAATAACTGTCACCAACGCCTTAGTATTTAGCAAACTCTACTATTGTTCCTCTCTTTGGTCAAATACTTCCTGCAGCAACCTATCCCAACTTCAAAGTGTCCAGAACTTCGCAGCACGAGTAGTGAGCAACAGAAGGAAATTTGACCACATCACCCCGATACTTAAGGAACTGCGCTGGTTTCCCGTGAAGTCACATCTGTACAGTCGCGATGCTTTATTAGCTTTCAAATGCATGAATGATTGTGCACCTGCCTACTTATTGTCTCAGTTCAAAACGAGAGGTGAAGTGAGTGGTCGCGATAGTAGAAATACTAAACAGCTGGACGTTCCGTTATACAGATCAACTGCAGGACAAAGATCATTCCATTACAGAACTGTCACTCTCTGGAACAACATTAACCCTGACTTAAAACTTTGCAAATCTATTCCAAGCTTTAAAATTAAACTGAAACGGGAACTGCTTCAGCAATTTCTAGATAGTCAGCCTAAGGGCATGTTTTTGATCGTTGATGTTGTTGTTGTTGTTGTTGTTTTTGCTGTCGTTGTTGATGATGTTGATGTGCGTTGTATGCTGCTGTTGTTAATCTTGTTGTCAAGAATTTGATGTTGTGTTTGTGTATAAAGTAATTACGTCATCTTATTATATGAATTTAGGATCTGATGTATAATTATAGTAATTAATTGATATGTATATATATTTTTGTCACTGAAAAGCCCCTTTAGGGGAGTGTCAATAAAGTCAATAACAATAACAATAACCCGATTAAGTGACCATAAATTAATATCAGAATTTCTGGTAGAGAACATGCATGATATAATTGCCCACTTATTTCAGCCAGTGCAATTCAGTCATATTTTACCCTGTCTTTCAATAATACTAGAAAATTAAATAAATTGAACTTTTTGACATTGTTATAATTACATACGACTTTATAAAAGAGATTGTTTCATAGTTGAGTCTGGTTTCTTAATTTGTTCTTCATGGCGACCTGCCAACTCTCTGAGTGTCACACTCTGGTGGCATTTTTTGTTACAAGCTGCCAACTGGCATTTTCTTATAGCCTAAACATTGGTGAACAAGACTAAATATACTGGCACCTGTGATTTTGATTTGATAGCCAAAAATTTGAGAATTTAAAATTTGCCTAGTAAATTACTATACGTTGGACTAAAAATGCAAAATTTTCAAGCCGGTTTTTAATCATTTTCCTTTGGGATATTTGCCAGTACGGAAGTGTGTCCTTGAATCAAGTCGCTAAATAAACAGAAAACCAAGAAATAAAGAGAACCTTGAAGTTCAAGGCAATAATAGTAGTCTACACGCTGTGTAAACTGTAAAGCGAAAGTTTTTTTATGTAGAAATGGAATAGATCAACCCGCATGTTCTGAACCGACTGGACGGTGAGTTGAACTTACTTTTACATATTTTAGTGGTTGGTCCAGAGACCGCGGAACAGGAGGGTCTGGGGCCATGCCCTCTCCAGGGGCGAAACTTGAGGGGGGGTATGGGGGGTGTGACCCCCCCACCCCCCAAAAAAGAACAAACAAACGAAACACCTGGATTGGCAGGGCGAATCATCCAACATGAGCTCCACCTTTGAATTTACTATATGAGTAAATTCTTAAACATGTCCGAATTTATCATTACGATAAACTCGCGGCACATTTTGAATTTATCAATAGAGTTACTCTTGAAACCACAAGCATTACACGAGATTCCTTCTTATAAATGTAATGGCGCTAAGACGGGAGGCTAGGCGGGTCGCACTGGGGCAGGGAGTTTCCAATTTTTTTAAGAAAATAGTTTTTAAAAAAGTTTTAAAAAGTTTTAAAGAGTTTTGAAAAGCAAGAAAAGTTTAAAAAGTTAAATTTTTGGGAAAGTTTGAAAAATTTAAAAAGTTGTCGTTAGTGGTTAGGGGTTAGGGGTTATTGGTTAGGGTTGGGGTTGGGGTTAGGGTTAGTGTTAGGAGCCGCGAATTTATTATTATGATAAATTCAAAATTTGCCGCGAATTTATCATAATGATAAATTCGGACTTGTTTAAGAATTTACTCATATAGTAAATTCAAAGGTGGAGCTCATGCTGGAATCATCTGGATTGGCAGGGCAATCAAAGATTTTAAATGATAGAATGTGGAGTTATGAGGTAACTTACAGGGCTTTCAGAGGGTATTGAATAGAATTTATAGACTTAAATTGTACAGATATTGGTCCAAAAATAAGGGTTTCACCCATGTTTTAACAGGAATTTCCACGGAAATTTTTTTTCAACCCTTCCCCCCCTGCTCGCCAACATTTTTGGGAAAAATAGTGGCCAGAAATAAAAATTTGCTGCAGGGCATCATTGGTTTTGGCAGGGCAATAGTTGTTATCGTATTTGAATACGACGCTGCGGAATACCAGCGGTATCTCAGTGGAAGTACGCACGAAAACAAGGCTAAAGGGTCAAAAAACACAAAACATGACTTTATAGCCTCGTCTCGATGTTAAAATAATGCAGATACCGCTGGTCCGTAGCATAGACGTAAACAATTACGATAACAGCTATTCTGGCAGACAACCCCCCCCCCCGAATTAAAAGGGGCCAGTGTCGCCCCCTGGCCTTTCCCCTTTTTCGGTGGATAATAAAAAATTACCGGACAAAATGCAGCCTGGAATAGCTGCCGTGCCCTCCTGGTCTCCCCACTTTTAAACAGACTCCGCGATCCCTGTGCTGGAGCAACTTGGACATAGCCTCGCTTTCGTGAATGTGACATTAGTTAAATCGAAGCGTCTCAGTCACGAAAACGAGGCTCAATGGCCAACGGGACGTACTTTCCGGAAGGGTCTATTATGCCGTTGGGTGTCAGTGTAAGTAATGAAAATTACAATTTTGGGTACGAGGCTGTTATAATAATCAAACACAATATGTGAAATACAATAGAATGGATCTTCTGAAGAGCGAATCACAAACATTGATCATGCACTTCAGCTTGGGAGCCATCACCAAGCATGAACTTTATCTTTTATACTGAAATAGCTTGCTCGTGACGTCATTCTAACTGTGCCGGAAATTACCGTTCAATGCTCGCGACCTCCCGGATTGTAATCGAATTTCCGATACGCCCTTTATAGAAATTTAATATAGGCTAGGTTTAATTTTAACTTTTAACACAGATATTTTAACCTATATTTTATACTGGATAAAAATTATGATTTCTTCTCAGTGTTCGTGACATTTTGCAACAAGCTGCTGGCTGCAATTTTGGCTACAAATTAAGTTGGCTATACGTGAACTGTGAATGAAAACAACTTTTATAATAATAAAGGTAAGCAAATTCTTTTAATTTTTTTAGTTTTGTTTTTAGTACATCTTTACATACTTTCTATTGAAATATTTACGTTTTATACTGTTCATTTCCGATTTCATAGGCGCGCGCATAGTTGTGTATTTCAAAGTTGGGAATTCCCAAATTGTGATGTTTACTATGTTTCAACGTAGCATATAATGACATAATTATATATTAGAACAATAGGTGAATAGTTACTAGGCTGCTAGCTCAGATATTAATGAAGTGTTCATACCATATTCAACAATATGTTGTTTACGTTTGACTGTATAATTGTTTGTATAAAATATGTGCTAAATCATGCCAAATCTTATCCATGGTGTTAATTATTAACAACCTAATGACAAATTGTTATACCAAGGGCCTGTTTATATGGAAGCCGGGCTGGTCTGCTTAGCGAGAAAGCTAGCCTGTTAAGCAGGATAAATTTACCTTGTGCTTTTGTGAGAAAGTTTCCTCCCGCTTGCCGAGACAATTTTGTTGTTTTGACATTATTTTGACAGTTGTTAAAAATAGCTTGCAGTGGTATCTTTGAACTTTCATCCCGGCAACTGGGCTAGCCCGCTTGTGCGCGTTTACGTCATGGAGAAATTTCCATCCCGTCCCGTAAGCAAGATCTCTGCAACTGGGCCAGCCCGCTTGTCCATATAAACGTACAATAATTTTTACTACACAGCGAGATCTCGCTTACCTGGCTGTCTCACTTAGCAGGCCAGCCTGGCTTCCGTACAAACAGGCCCTTAAACAAGCAGTTTTGTAGGGCAAAAAAATTAGTAGCCAACAATTTGATAGAACATTTTGTAGGTCAACTTTTCGGTTGGTTTTTTAAATACATGTTTCTTTTTCCTTGGTGAATAAAATTATCTGGCATTAGGCAGTATAAAACAGGAAGTGCACCCACGTTTGCCCTTCCACCCATTAATACCCAATCCCCCTCAGGAATAAATTGTCTGGTGGTGTTACTGTTACACATGTGAAATAACAAACTAGGGCATATTGGAGGATATTGGAGGATATTGGAGGATATAGTTACTTAACCTATTGAGTGCCAACACTTTCCCTTTGACGAATAAAATCATCTGGCATTAATTAAATAGAAAGAGTAAAATGATATAGTATGGTGCATTATTTGCTTGTCTGTATATTTATGCAACTTTGACAATTTTTACTGTGACAAGTACACTTGTTCAAAAACTAGCATGTCAAAGTACAAATTTTGCTCGTCTGTATGGTAGGCCATTGGCCAAAATTATTTCACAGAAACTACAGCAAATCTATTCCCCAGGGGGTTGCCACGAAATTGGTTTTCTAAGCACTTTTTCGCACAACGGCCTATGGGTCAACAACAAAAACTTGTCAAAGTAATTTGAGCACTTACATGCAGTTGGTCAGCGATCTATTGTTGTAATCGGTAATAATAGCTGTCGTGGCGTTCAGAAAACCATAAACTTGTCATAGAAAATTTGTTGCACATACACATGCACTTGGTAAATCTGCGGCAAACGTGTCGTGAAGTGTTTGTTGACTGTTGTGAATTATTTTTGTGCTTGTTTCCATATGGTTGTAACTGTCGTCACACTGTTGCAAGTTAGTTTCGTACCCAGGGATTGTACAAGCAGCTGGCGGCATGCAGTTTTAAAAAGACAAACACGGTCCCCCAAAGGGGACCTTTGCCCCCCTGATTGTCACTAAACTGTTGCACAACACTTTTTAGCCTGTTGCAACTGTCGTTAAGATATAACTCGAGCCTATCTCGACGACACTGTTGTAACTGTTGTAAACTGTTGCCAGCATGTTGCGACTAGTCTTTTCTTCATGTTTCCATGTGGTCATGAATAAACTACTCTGAGGAGTAGTTTTACGTCATTACGACCATAAGGGTGCATTGCCACTTAAAGTTTTAACAAGACTTGTGCACAGATATACTGTAGTTTAATTATTAAACATATTGAGTGCTAGCAGTTTCTCCTTGATGCAGAGTAAAATGAATAATCATTAGGCATTAGACATATTCTGGTTATCCACAATTCCCCACACTTTCCCTAATTTGACAAGTAAAATTTGACAATATTAGGTTTTTTCTCTTTTACATATATTAATTAGGTTATAGTGATGATCTAAACGAGGCCTCATCATGGCTAGCGAAGACGAAGACTTCCAATTCATTAATTACAACCCTCCACCTGACCCTCCCTGCTGTGAAGAAGTTAACGGCAAAATTACATGCGATTTGACTGGCTATGACCCGCCAACTCATTTCCCGTCAAAAATATGTTCCAAAAGAAACCTTCAAGTTTTGAAGCTTATCATTGATGATTTTGAAATCCCAAAGGAGATAGGAAATTTGCATAAATTGGAACACTTAGTTCTTTGCCAATGTGATAATGACATCAATCTTGAGACGAGGATAACTAAAATCCCAACTACACTGAGAAATCTTAAAAACCTAAAGGTGCTGAATTTAAGGAATAACCCACTGTATATGTTCCCATCGCAGCTTACCGAACTGTTCAACTTGGAAGAACTTCATGTTAGCAACTGTCAGCTGGCTAATCTCCCAGATTCATTCGCTAAACTTCAACTGCTGAAAACCTTAGATCTTAGTAACAATCTATTTAAAGATCTTCCATCGTGCATAATGAAGCTTTGTAATCTTTGCAAGTTATACGTCGCCGATGGTTGTCTTCAGAATATTTGTGGAGAGATTAAAAATTTGGTCAACTTAGAGCGACTTCAATTGACCAGTAACGAACTCATGTCGTTACCCGAGGGACTGTTCGAACTCGTGAATTTAAAGAAATTGTATTTGAATAATAACAAGTTAACGTCACTTCACGACAAAGTTGGCAAACTCGTTAACTTGGAGTACCTGGTTTTAAACCAGAATAAGTTGACGAAGATCCCGGAAACCATTGGGAAGTTGAAGGAATTACGTTATCTTAATCTTCACGAGAATATGTTATCCTGCCTTCCCGAGAGCGTAACGAGCCTGGAACAGATTGAGACGCTTCTGGTCGACCATAACCCGCTTCAAGTACCACCTGTTCATGTCTGCAATCAAGGTATTGAAAGTGTCCGAAATTATTTTAAAGCTATGAAGAATACGAAAAATATTCATGCAAAGCGATTGAAGGTAGGTAACAAATGATGACTTTATATTTATCATCATGATATTGTAACATATAGGTGTAAACGTTCGCCATATGTAAAGAGAATGATCACAAAATCAAAATGACTAAATTTCCACAGCATGATGGCCATTATTTTTCAACTGGACAGTGAGATAACTACTGCTTGTTTGCATATAGTTTATTCCTTTTCAAATAGAAATAGTTTTCCTTACTTAACTTTTCTGTACCAAGATTGCACGAGCACGGATATCCTTTTCCATTTCTAATGAAACTATCTGTTCATTTCATAAAATAGACCACACCCTGTGACCTTCTTAATCTTACCACGCCCTTTCCAACACTTACAAGAGCAATCCCATTTGATCTCTGATAAAACCACTCCCTTTTTATCTCTTGTAAAACTGCATTTGCCTACTTTCTGTCTCTAACGAGATTGCACCATTTCTCCATCTCTAGTGTGACCACACCCTTTTTTATCTCCAAGTAAATTGCCTTTTGCAAGTCATCATATTTCATCTCCAAGTAAATTGCCTTTTGCAAGTCATCATATTTCATCTCCAAGTAAATTGCCTTTTGCAAGTCATCATATTGTAAAACCATATGTCTGACTGCATAGGTCAATAGTTCATAATCAGACATCTGCCTCCTGTAAAACTGTGTGGTGGACATATGTAGTGTTCAGACTGGGCAATATATTCTACAATAATCCTCAATGGTTTGTGTCTGAACCACCTGAATAAGTTTATAAGACATTCTGACGTTTCAATTAAATGTAAGCTGAGTAAGCTCTTCATCAGGGAATAGGGTGCTAGCAAACTAATTTTGTCTGTCTATTAATTGCGGGGTTTGAATTAACAGTGTGCAATGTGCAATTTTCGCATCATTCTGGACCAAATAGTGAAAATTGCACATCACTTTTCAAAACAATGTGCAATAAAAAAATTGGGACTATTAATGAACATGACCATCCATATTTATAGATTTAAACAAAGCCAATCTGTTGTCTTATACTTTATAAACAAGTGCTTTTGCACGCACACTGGCAGCATGTTTGCAGATTGGAAGGTCTCAAATTTTAGCCACTATGACAGATAGACATAAACACATGGCTGATTAATGTTTTGTGTTAGCTATAAGGTTTGTATACCATTCAAAAATTGCAAACAAAAAGTATTGAAATAATTAAATTATTGCAGTTTGATTGAGTAGATGTTTGATGGGTAGCTAAGACAATAATGAACCTATTTTATAAAAATTTAGAGCCACATTTTTTTTAAAAAGGTTGCACATAATTTTTTCTCAACTAATTCGAACCCTGATTAAGTGCAGCCTGGGTAAGTCTGGGTTATGCCTATCGCCCCATTCCCCTCCTTATAACCCTGTATTTACATTCCATTATGAATTAGGTTGTAGTGCTTGGAGAGTCAATGGCAGGAAAGACAAGTCTTGTGAATGCCTTAATGACAGGTGAATCAACTCAGATTGACGAAGATGATCGGACATTTGGTGTCGTGTTTTATCATTGGAAACCAGAACCTGAAGTTGATGAACTGGAGTTGATGGTGGTCGATTGTGCTGGACAGAAGAAATATCAGATGACCCATCAACTTTTCTTGTCTGAAGGTAATTACAAAAATGTCAGTCATATACGCAGTGGTTGTTGCATTTTTTAGATACAGTCGAACCCCTATTAATGGACAGCTCTCTTAAGCGGACACATACCTCTGACCCCAATACGACGAATTTGTTGTTGCACCCTTCAGTGTCATAATAATTTTTCAAAGTTGCCTAACTAAGAGTGAGCATCGAAAAATCGCGCTGCGTTGTCGAATCGCGTTCGGTGTGCCTGGGCTTCATGAATTGGCAAAATGTGCTAGACTTCACGCTCGCGTCTAGATTTAAGCATATAATCAATTCGATGCAGACATATAGCAAAAGACCTCATTATCTATGTTTTTGTCTTGGTTTATACAAAAAATGATCGGTTCATCGTCACGTGTGTATTGTTTTTTTTTTGTTGTTTTAGCGAAAATACAATACACACGTGACGATGAACCGACCATTTCTTGCATAAACCAAGACAAAAACATAGATAATGATGTCTATTATGTCTGCATCGAGATTCCTAACCTTCTTCTGTTGACTATGTTTTAGGCTATGCGGGAACTATGTAAAGCATCTCTAAAGTATTTTTTTACCAAATATCGTTATTTTCCACCAGGTGCTCTGTTCATTTTGGCGGTGGATCTGTTTCGGTATGGGTTTGACAGTCCAGAAAGTTACCAAGAGAATGTCGGTCAGTGGATATCCCTCGTAGCTGCCCGGATACCAAGAGCGCGGATCCTGGTCGTCCCAACCCATATCGACGAATGCCACTACGAAGAAGATATAGATCTGAAAGTTCGAAATATTTTGGTGAATATGAAAGAACAACGAGAGGAGATGGTCAGCGAGATAGACAAGAAGATCAAGCACGTGAAAAAGACGGAAGGGCATTGCATTCCATCGGAAGAACTGGCCAAAATACTGGAGCAGCATCGAGAGCAGAAGGATAACTTGCCTGTTATGTCTTTACAGTACAAGGTATGGGTCGGTAAACCGTTTGCATCTAAAGTTTGCATCTAACCGTTTGCATCTTTGCGGTAAACGTTTGCATCTAAAGTCTGCTCTCCAGTCGCGCGTTTTTCATACCGTGCGTATACGCACGGAAAAGTTTAAATCTTTTTAAATGTTACTTATGAAATAACTGAATAAATAAAAGGAAAGCATATAGTTTTGTGAATGATTTAATGTGCATTTGTACAGGTAATTGATACTAGCGTTAAATTTAAAAATATTTAAACTTTTCCGTGCGTATACGCACGTATGAAAAACGCGTGACTGGAGAGCAGCCTTAAGGATAAACAGACGCAGATAAAAACTGTACTCCGATTGTCTTTGTTCACAGAAAAGTTCTCTTGTTAACAAAAAAGCTTCGGATTTATAGAATATAGAGAAACAACTACCTGAAAAATACAAGGAGAACTTGGACGTTTTGAGCGAAGGCCCTTCGTCGGGAAATTAGTATTGTTTAAGTTTATTCAGAAATATGGCCCTTCATTGTCACGTGCATATTGTATTTTTGCTCAATTAATCATTATTCATTAGCAATGTTTTGGAAACGTTAGCTACTCGTGACTTGAACAATCAAGGGTAACTTTGCTGTTGGTGGATTTGGCAACAATACAATACGCACTTGACGACGAAGGACCGTATTTTTTGCATAAACGTTGACTAACATAGATAATGAGTTTTAGTATTTTGCACAAGTGAACATAACAAATCCTACACGTTGATTGGTCAAATTTGTCGTATTAAGCCATTATATACACCTACAGGTGCAGGGCATTTTTTAATTATATAACTGGGGGGGCCAAAGCCCCCCCAGCCCCCATGGTGGCCCCCCCACTCAACCATTTTGGCCCCCCCAGTCAAAGTCCCTTTTCTCTAAAATATAAGCAAAACATTGAGTTTAGAAGGGAGGTTTGATATTCTAGTAACTGAAATTTGCTTTGTGAATCTTATGTCCTGTCTTTTATGTTTAATAAATACCTTAATTATTAGATTTTAAACATTTCCCAGGCAGTGGATTGCATTTCCCAGACCCTATAGAGTTTGAGTTGTTGGACAAGTTAGTGACCGCAAGGGGCAACAGGCCCTCAACCATGTGTTTTATAAGGGGGGGGCGGATAATTTTGGCCCCCACCAAAAAAAAACAATTTGATTTCGAAACTAGAAGTATTTGAAATCATACATATAATCAAATATCTGTAATCGATATTTTGATAACATTTCTCGTAATAATCCATCCTGACTCGCGGATATCGATCATACACTCACAAATCATAATGAACGAATTAATGAAAGGGCCAAACAAAAGACGTATAGAAGACTTTGAAAATGCCATTTCCGATGATTTAGAGACGCAAAATTTTCAAAATTTTTCCACTCTGTGCCATCCATGGTGGCGCTTCGTGGGAGTCGGGAACTCTAAGTTTATCAAGCTGGCTCCCTAAGTGACTGCCAAGTTGTGGTATCTACATAAACATACTATTCAAGTACTTAACTGCAGGTTCAGTCTATCTACAGCATAATGTAATGCTGTATATCCAAAAATCTGTTTCAGAAAATGCAGGGAATTGCAGTCATAGGGGTAGAAAAATACAAAAATTTTCTGGGGGAGAAAACCCCAGACCCTCTCCAGGGCCGTAGCAACCGCGCCCGGGGTGGGGGGGGGGGCTGGGGGGCTGCAGCCCCCCAGTAATTTGCTAATAATCATTCATTTTTTAAAATCATGCAGACCTTTATTATTTAATCCATGACAAACTGCAAAGAATGAAGATATTACCCATACTTTCCTGCAACTTATCCAATATATTGTTAATTAAATACACCTTCGTCCATTTAGTACTACTGAATTCTAAATTTCCACATACTAAAAACGCTGTATTCTGACAATCAGAAATCTGTCAAATCTTCCCCAAAGTCCAGGAAATGGCATTTCAGAGACTCTAAATTTAAAAATTTCCTCGGGCCTTCGGCCCTCGCTTTCAGCCGCCCCCCCCCAAACGAAAAGAGCTTCCTAAGGCCCTGCTCTCCCCCCCCCCCTACTATTAAATGCGATACCACACCAAACCTTTTGTTACCAACAAACCATCTATCATTGCTCCACACTCGGTATAGTATGGTCCCTTTTTGTAGATGGCCCCCCACTGACGAATTCTTAAAAAATGCCCTGTACAGGTGAATACAACAAAACCGAAATTTTCAAAATGGCGGCTAGCCGTTTTGTGGAAGTTACTGATAAAGAAATAAGCGAAATGAACATAAATTCAGTCTCAAAAAACACAAAAGCTTGTGTAAAGTACTAATAGGCCGTATTCTGTGACCCCAAAAGTCGCTTAGAAAACAATTTTCGTTGCCCCCATTCGGGGAATACTTTTAGTTTACATAAATCTATAGATTTTGATACGCTGAGTACGAATTCAGTTGTTGTAACTCGCACAGACCTGCAGTTTTTTTGTATTTTACGATCAAACATCAACATTTTTTATTAAAATTTCCGCCATTTTGTTCAGGAAACTTCATGTTATATACATTTATTGTACTAGTCCAAGTCTCTTAGCAGGGGGGTTGCACGCGGTATTACGCAGTTTGTTATCATTCTTCTGAGAAAAATATACAGAAATGAAATAAAAATATAGATATTTTTTCACAATATAAATGCGAAAGGTACTGGTACATGTTTGTAAATAATTAGGAATTAATATATTATTCTTTATTGCATCAACTTTTTTTTTTTTTTTCTCATCATGATGTGAAATTGCAAAGACTGTCACTATATCCATAAAGACTCTCACTTTTCATTGGTAAACGATTGTTTATTTTATTTATTACTGAAATTATGTACATAATTTTGGCCTTACAATTTGAAAAGGCAATTTTCCTGAATACTGTCTCCCTGAAATTTTTGTCAACAATAAAGTTTTGAAGGTTTTATGAGGCCCTGTTAGGGTTTTAGGATTACGGATTATTTGGGATTTTTGGGCAGAATTACGGATTATTGCTGGTTAAAAAGATTATGGATTATTTGGATAGGATTTTAGGATTATTGATATGCAAAGATCTCTATTTTTGCTATTGAAAATAAAAATAAGAGGTACAATTTGCAGTTTGTAAGAGGTCATATAAGATGCCAGTCAATATCAAACCTTCATTATACTAGATACACCATTAAAAGGTGCTGAAAAATTCCAATTATTGACCATTTCGCACATTTGAGATCGAACACACGCGATCTTCGCGCAAACACGCACAATCTCACAACTTGTCAACAAGATGTGTTCGCAAAAGGCTTGTAGCAAGCTTGTCTACAAGTTGTAACAATGCTGTTATTTTATCAAGTTGCTACAAGCGGGGGCGTAAATGTGGGGGGAGCGGGGGGGGGTGTGAGGGGGTGGTTCACCTCCCCAGAGAAATGTTCCAGTCGGTCTCAAACTACGTGCAGTCGGTCTCAAAATTATGCGTTTGTTTACATGCAGTGCTTTGCGAAGCAAATTAAATATTTTCGAAACTCGAGATAGACTCAGACTATTGAGTATTGAGTTGGAAATTTGCTCAAACTGATCAAACAGCTCAGAAATAATATGAAGAAATATTGACATACTCATTTCGCGAGTTTATGAACGAATTATCAGTCAAAACACGCGCAAAGGAATGAAGTTTCATTTACTTTCCAAACATGGAGATATCTATATGTCACAATTACGTGTTTGCACTTTCATTTGGAATTTAGGTTCTGCAAGGTCATTCACGGGTGATATTCTATATTAGCGAAAATTTCAAACCCCCAAAATCAGACTCCAAAATGCGATGAATCTCGATCAAAATAGCTAACATTAGTTACAATATTTCTCCGGTCCCTAAACTATATTTTTAAGATGTAAAGTGCAAAAACGAATTTCTAGCCGAGTTATATTAGGAAGTATGTTCACATGTAACACGATATGCATTTTGTTACCAAAGAGTTTTATGTGCCTACTGCAATCAAGAAATTCGATCAGTGAACAACGCACTGGTTTATCTGAAATCACGGAGCGAAAAATTGTTTCCACTGACTAGGCGATGTTTCCAATTGTTGCTTACAATCAGGCCCATAACTAGGTATATGAGTCAATCGAGTTCAAGTTCAATGACAGACAGTAGTTCTCTCTATGTAAAGAAGCATTATTCTTGCCCTACAGTGACGTAAGAAATGGGAGGCTGTGTGGGTGCACGTCAAGTACCCCAATAACAAAAGTGCGGGCCAGCGCCCAAATATTACAACAATTGAGCACAAACACTTTATTATTATACAACTGATCAAAGATGTTCGACCAAAAATATTTGTAATTCTTAGCCTCAGGATTGGGGGCTAACTACAGTATAAATTATAGTCATTGTGTCACTGTTTATGAAATTGATATTTCGTTTGAACTGCTCCCAGAATGCAGGAAATAGCGTTTCTAAGCCTTAGAAAATCAAAAATTTTTTGGGGGAGCAGGCCCCTAGACCCCCCCAGAAGTGTTTTGGTCAATCAAAAATCCTATAGTTACGCGCCTGACAGTTCCTGTAACATCCGCATCAGCCGAGCGCAGCTTTTCAAAGCTGAAATCAGTGAAAACTGTTATGCGTTCAGTAATGAACCAGGAACGCCTTGGTGAACTCTTGACTCTTGCGTGTGAGCACGATCTATAAACAGACACGATTGATCTTGACGAAATCGCTAATCCGTGGGCAAACCTGACTAAGCGCGGACTCTTAATTAGTAATAAAAGTATAACGTTTCACAGCAAACTGTACGTGTTCTTGCAATATTCTTAATAAATGACATCAATTTTCATGCTTTGTACTCAATTTTATTGCAACACACCAACTCACCAAGAGTCGGTCTGGATTCACATTTCAGCTGTGGGTCGGTCTCATTTCGTGATTACACCCTCCCAGTCAAAATCGATATGTCCGCCCCTGAGTGGGTTCGACCACTAATTTTAAGAAGAGGGTTGC